GGGAGCGGCCGCGACTGCGTGCTGGGGGGCTGCGATGGGGCGGGGGGCTGCGCCGCCCCTCCGGAGCCCCATCTGGTAAGGGGTGTGCGTTCGGGGGGTTTGGGTATGGGGGGTGATAAGGGGGGAAAAATACAAGAGGAAAAAAAAAAGACAAAGGGGCGGAGGGCAGCGGGGGAGGATGGGGAAGGGGAGCGGCGGAACCTCGCTTGGGGCACCGGAGCCGGGCCGGGGGCACACAAAGGGCCGCGGCCCCCTCCCCCCAGAGCCGTTAGTGACTCGGTAGGGCGGGCACGGCGGGGGGCTCGGGGCGGGGGGAAGCACGGAGGGACGGGCGGGGGGCCGAGGGAAGGCGCATTCAGCGGGGAGAGAAGACGGAAATGAGAGCCGGGCCGCGCTCCGTGCGGTCGTCCAGCGGGGCTCGGCGCGCCCGAGGGAGGTGCGTCCCTTCCCGCGCGGCCCCGCACGATGGGAGCGCGGCGGACCGCTGTTTTCCCCGCGCCGCGCTCGTTCCCACGCGTGCCTCAGCGGCCGCGGGGCTCAACTTCGGCACAACTCGACGGGGCCGCTCCTTTGTTCCCCGCGCTCCGGGGGCATCGGGGCCGCTCCTTCCCGAAGCCATCGTGCGCGGCCTTCCCGCGGCAGCGCGGAGCGGCCTTCCCACTGTGCGCGGCGGTGCCCACGGCTCCGCCAGGAACCGGGATGGGCGAGCGCGGCAGCTCGGAGCCGGCTGGAGGGATTGTCGGCTGGGCTGCGCTCATCGGAATTTAAGCACTACTTCCGTTTTGTTGGAAATGAGCAAATAATTCTCTTCATCTTCCCCCCCCCCCCCTTTTTTTTTTTTTTTTTTTTTCCCCCGACTGTATTAACCTCCTCCTGGCTCTTTAACGCCGGCTGAGGCATTTCCCGAAATGAATTTGTGTTTCATCGTTTCAAACGTTATGGCGTCGTTGAAAGAAACAATTGTGTCAGCCGGGTGCAGCCCCCCGCCAAGCGCCCCGCGCTCGGTCGGACCCGGGCAGCCATCGGCCGCCGTCCTCGAGGCTTCGTTGCGCCCTGCACGAATTCGATCCGTGCCGAATTTCCCAGCGCTGTGCATGTGCTCGTTCCGCCATGGTTGGGCTGCGGGATTTCCTCCGGCCGCCAGCCGGGCTGCGCCCATGCAGTGTCCTCTTTCGCGGATGTGTTTGCTGGGAGATCTACTGTAAGAAATGAAGCTTGAAAGTCCACAGCACGATCGCAATCGGATGGCTGGGAAAAAAAAATAATGTAGAAATAAAACCTCGTTTATTAGCAGTCCCTTTCTTTTGCTCCTCTGGAAACATCTCGCTAATAAGGCGGAATGTTTGTCTCTAATGCTCAATAATACGGAGCTTTGTTTTCAAGAAGTGTGGGTTGGGTAGCGGTTTCGTGAGTAAATCCGAAGGCTGAAATGCCAGAAAATAAAAGAGCACCCGGTGGAGCGGGGGTCGCGGTGCGGAGATCCGCCCTGTACAGAGTAGGCGGGCGGGCCCTCGTACGGCGACCCCCACTCCGCGCCGGCCCGGGGCAGCCGTCGGGGCCGCGGCTCCACTCCCACCCGTGGGCGGCCATCGCCACTCGTAGTAAAACGGCGCGGGGCGTGGCGCGCCGCCTCTTCCCATTGGCCAGCGGACGGCCGAGCGCGCCTCTGCGCCGCTTTCTATTGGCTAAAGCGCCGGCCCGCGTGGCGCGAAAGAGGGGGCGCGGGCGAGAGAGAAGGGGGCGCGGGAGCGGGGGGCGAGGGCGGGGAGAGCCGGTGGCGGCCCGGCCTTTGTCACGCGGTAAGTGCGGCCGTGCCGGTGAGCGCGGCGGAAAAAGAGGAGGCGGCGGGACCGGGGCCGCGGGGATGCGGGGCGAGCGGCCGCCGATCCCCGGTGTACGGTCCCGGCTTTGTCTTCGGACCGCGCGCAGCTCGAAGGCGGCTCGGAACAGGGTACCGGGCTAGCGGCGCGGCCGGGCGGGTGGAGAGCGATGAAGACGGAGAGCTGGAGATAACGCTGCGGGCGGCCGCGCGCCGGGTAGGGCGGTTTTTCCAATAAAGCAGAGCCGCAAAGAGATCGCCTCGGTGTCTGTGTGACTGTGCGGCAGGGAAGCCACAGGGACTCCTTACTTTGTAATGCGGCGGTCACGCCGCGCGCTACCGAAACGATGCAAACCCCATTTCTGAGCGAGTGTTCCGGTGTGCAGAGCGCGGTGCCTGTGGCTCAGCATGGAGCTGCGTGCTCAGCTCGGAGAGCAAAGGTTTTATTTCTTCATTCTGTACGGTGATCTCAGGCTCCGGGTTCTGTTGCTCGGTTTATCTCCTTTTCAGCTTTAAAACAATCGCAAACCGATAGTACAAAACCAAAAATCCTCTCACGCGCATTTAAAACCCAAATCCAATTTGCAGTCACGTTGGCACGCACCGGCCGTCAACTTTTTGTCGGCTCCGACTCCGCTGGGCGCAGCCGCGTTCCGAACGGGGCTTTCCGAACGGCCCCGCTGCGACGGGGCACTGCGGCGCCCGGGACGCGAGCTCTGCTCCCGGCGGTGGTGGAGACGGGAAGAGGGAATCCCGGCGGGCGCTGCCCGGGCTCCATCCCAGCCGGCGGCCGGAGCCCTCCCCACGTGGGTCCTCCAGCCCGGGGTGCTCCGCGGGGCTCGCGCTGGAAGCGCGGGGCTGGAAACGAAGCGCGGCTTCGGCCGCGGGACCGCTTTCCCCCGTCGAGGGGGGTTTAACTCGATTCGGGACGTGTTTTTTTTTGTTCGGCTTTTGTTTTGTTTCGTTCGGGTGCGTTCGGGAGAAATCCGGCTCCGCTTCCCGCTTCGCTCAAGGAGCTCTTTTAGCCGAGGGGGAAAAAATATCGAGGGAGGGAAACGGGGCAGCAGCCCGAGCGTGAAATCCCCGCGGAGAGAACAATGGGCGCCCCGCGGCCCCGCGCTGGGTTCCCGCCAGGGCCCGGACCTGGGGCTCCGCCGGTCCCTCCGCGCCGGGGGAGGGTCGGGGCCGGGAGCCTCGAGCGGGCAGGGCGGGACGCCCCCGGCTCCTGCCCAGCAGTCTTTAGGCGTTCGGAGGAGAAATCTTCGTTTCTTTCTCCACAAATGTTGGTATGGCACTGCCTCGGAGGAAGCTCTGTAACATTTTTCTTTAGATATTTAAAAAAGGGAGGAAAAAAAAAAAAAAAAAAAAAAAAAAAAAAAAAGCGACGTTATTTTGAGTTCCGATGGTTTCTTTAGGTATTTTATAAGCACGATTGGAGATGTTAGCTGCTGGGGTTTGACAGAGTTTACTTTTTTGGTTGTTTTATTTAAATTGGTTTAATATCTTAGCAAATATTTATTCCTTTGCTGGAGGTTGATAAGAGCTCAGCCCCCCCCCTGCTCCTGTGATAGTTGGGGTTGATTTTGGTTTTGTCTTTTTACAAACCCAACCATATTTGTATGGTTTATAACATCCCAATAGCAAGGCAACACCCCTGAAACCAGCTTCAACTCAGCCATTAATCCACATACCCTCTGGAGAACCAGCTCCCAAACACTTCTGTTGAAAATGCCCTTTCCCTTCACAATATACAATTTCTCATTTGCTCCTTATATTTTTTTCTCGTGCTCAGGAGCGACCCAGTGCTGAGAGCTTTGGCTTTTTCTTCCCATTCTTTGGACAGCTTAGCCCACAAATTGCAGAGCCCAGGGCCACCCCACCGCCCCTCCTGCACCCCAACCTCCTCCCTGCGTCCTTCTGTCCTTCTTCATCTGCCCTGAAATGAGCTCTGCTCAGTGCTCTGTGCTCCTCACAAAGCCATTCCCCAGAGCTGTTTGCCTTGTGCTGTGCATTACCTTAGTGCATGGCTCATGGCTCTAGGTAGACAAACGTGGGGAACTTTGATGAGGGGAGATCTGTTTGGATGGTATTGTCAGTGCA